GTGAGCGTCCACACCTGTCCCCCCAGCACGCCTGTCCAGTGCCCTTCGCTTGTCTCCCGCCAGCTGGGGGAGGAGCAGAGAGACCGCAGGGTAACAGCGAGACACAGGGGAGGGGCGAGAGCAGGGCGGCCGCTCCACTCGGCAGCTACAGAGCAGCTGAGACTTCCTTCCAGTAAACGCTTGGAGCCTTGGTTCACCGAACAACAGGCCCTCAACTGGTTTAACTGCAGAGAAACGATATAGGATGCAGTGAAACGTGTGTCTGTGGTGTTATCTGATTCTTCTTTTAAGCACTGAGTTACCTGCACAGCCTGTGTTACTTCTGCGTTACTAAGGGCTTGACAAATGCTGATAGGAAAAGCACAAATATAGAAAGAAAAACACAGATATGAGAGAACTAGAGGCCTCAGTATCTTCACACGACTTGATGATTTACCATGAGAAGGAGTTAAGGGAGACACAAGTGTCAGCACTCGCCAAAATCTTTCTTTACTCCGTTTCAGGAAGTGTCGTTTCTTGCATGAAAGTTAATTTGGCAGAAGCTCCCTTAACAGCACAGCTGCTGGTCTCACAGAGGAGGGCCAGCCATTGTTCTCCATGCCACCCCAGTGTTCCACACACGGGGCTCGGCCTCTGGAGCCCGGCTCACCGGAAGCTCTGTCCACAGCCGAGGGTGAGATCCAGGCGCAGCTCCGAGCGCGGGCAAGGCAGAGACCGCCAGGCCGCGCTCCCCGCCGACAGCACGGCATGCCGGGACATCCCACCGCTGACACCACGTCTGCCGCACACACCGCTGACGAACAGCAGGGGGAGACAGCGCCCAACGCCGCCTGAAGAAACACACACACACAGGGTTTGCACAGCAGGCTTCAGTGCTACTCACATCTCTACCTCAACAGAAAATTCACATCGCTGCTGCAGCTGCTCCTATTCTCTAGAACACACTGCTGTAATAGAACCTGCATCTATTCCACAAACACAGCTGTAACTGTTGCCAGCACGTCTAGAGCATCGGCTTCAGTTGCAATTGTATTTATACAGAAACAGGCTAGAGGCAGAGAAACAGAGCTCATATAAAGAACCAGGGTCACTGTGGGACACGGCGGCTTTTGGGCATGATCTCTGCCTCGCTGTATCTTAAAACCCCCATTTGTATGAGTAGAGGATTTATGTAGGTGTAACAACAAGTCCTGCATCTCCTGGGAATCCTGTCGGCTCAGTCATTACCTGTGCGCCCTCTGCTGGACGCTCACACAGACCTAAACCGATTCTGGGGGCATCGCACAACTGCCTGAACAAACTCGCTCTGTCGAGTCACACAGTACACTTCCAAAGGTTATGTAAAATAAATTACATTTGTTCCTTTTCTTTGGAAATGTTTGCTTACTCCTCTTATCTAAAATTACACGTTAATTTCATGACTATGGAACAATACTGCTTATCGATTTTGCTTCTTGTTGTATTTGTTTGAAAAAACAACTAGATCAAACGTTAATCAGGGAATTGAGGAGCAATGACTGTAAAGCACCGAAAACAACAACCCCACTGTGTTGACTTACTTGACTTCCTGTGCTTGAAACCGCTTCCGCCACTCTCTGCTCGGGCCGATCATAATTCTCACAGAGTGACGGGGAGGGCCTGCGCCGCAGAGCGGATGGCCGAGTGTAAAATTCCAAGGAGTGT